CGCGGCTTGAGGGTGTTGCTCTGAGACATACAGCAAACAGCGTAAGGTCCATGGAACTTCACTGGTAACCTGAAATCAGTAACAACTTCATTCCTACAGATTTGCACAACACTCACTGCTGCAAAGATAACCATCAACTTCATTTACCTTCAACCGAAAAGAACTGAGATTATTCTATTTGCGGATGAAATTTACCCTGAAAATAAAGTTCACCTTAGGCGATCATAAATAAATCGTGCATTTGTCCAGAAAAGCCGGCACTACTGAATTAAATTTGTAAGTATTTATGGAATATTCAGAAAAATTAAATATTTCTGATTGTTTGTTCTCCATGACCGTGATCGGATTTGATCGATAAGTCTATTGAACTCCAGCTGCTATCGCAACTTCGTTCAAATGGTAGAAATCGCTGTCTCGCGCGGGAGCTGAGAGACGCCCTGAATAACAACTTATATTCTAAAGCGGTTCACATATCCGTCGTTGCCATGAAAGTGAACAGATTAGAAAACTTGAACGTGAGCTATTGCGTGATATCGGAGACAATAATCATATCCACATGACTTGCATTAGAACATCCTTCGGAAAGAATAGGTTTTGCACATTCACAGATGCTTGTGAAGAACAAGTGATGTGAGTAGTGCGTAGCATTTGAAAATGTGTCATCCGTTCGGTGACTAAAGGAAACAGCTGTGCGGAATTATCACTTTGCAGTCACGTACACACCAGCACGAACAGATACGGGCAAGTAGATTGTTTGATAGATAACCAGAAGAACATGCGATATTAGCTTGCTCTCCGGTTTCTGTCATCGCTACATTTAGATTCCGAATGACCTTTGACCCCAATTACCTCTGTAGTCCACACAAACGACAAACGTGAGGTGCAATTAGAAACAACGAACAACAAGCCTCCATCTCCCGGTCACCCTAAAGCCACGGGGTTCGCTCTCTTGCTCTGCCTTGGGGAGGGGGACGGGAAAATGACGTGACAGAGGATGACTGACTATTACAAACATACGTTGCGTGAGGGACTGGGGATTCATGCGATGGTGATTGTGAGAGAACGATTAAGTTACAAAGATAGATGTACTGACACTCCACACACACGACCAATCGAAACAACGCGAGCCAGACACTTGGGGCCCGGCAACCCGTATTGCCAAACGGAGACACCATCTGGGTTTAGATGGATGAGATCGCGTGAAGTGATGCGATAACCGATTAAAGATTGAATGGGTGAGGAAGAAGAGAAATGTTCTGGGCACAAAGGGGATGCGCAGTTGCTGTTGTCAACTGAAAACTGACACAACCAGGCCAAGGTGAAGCGTTACCTCGAACCCTTAAATGATGACGGTCCCGACAACAACCACCATTGTGAAAGCAACTCAATGCAGAATCAAATTTGGGGTATATCTCAACACCGATCACGAACAATCAAATCAGTCAAATTATCACCCGAACTATGAACACGCAGTCGTTTACGAAGTTTACAGTACAGGAAAAATTCTACTACAGAGAGTCTTTCCTTTAGGTAGGTGCCAAGTATAATACGATTAACTAGGTCACGGCCAATTGTAGTATTGGAATTGTTTGTGATAACCGACAAAGAGGATTGGACAGCTGTTTCATCCTGTTTTGGGACTCGTCAGCAGTGCGTTCTTTTCGCGTCCCTGCAAGGACTGAAACTGCGAATTTGGTCGGCACTGGTGCCTGTAAAAACACCGAATGGACTAATCCACACATCCACCGTATAAATAGAATGACATAGTTTCTGATTGTGGGAGCGAATTCAGGGAGGAGTTGGAATTTGGAGCATCTTCGGGGATTTCGGTAGAGCTTTCACGATTTCTTATGCAGACAGAGACGCTGGCTCAGAATATAAGTCAGCGGCGCGAATGTTGCGCGGTTTGTTTGCCGAAAACCCGTTCCCCATAATAGACAAAAAACTAACGAAAAATAAGCCATTCATTTGGTCCCCGTCTTCTGTGTTTTCCCAATTTTATTTCAATAATCTGTACATATTTTGCCATTATTATCACTGCTGTTGCGTTGATACCATGCCGATGGGATATATATATATCTACTGCTTGAAAATACAAATATACACCTCGACATGTCCACAAGGAAATTTTACATTATCTTGATGCTACGGAACACATTATCAATCAGTTTTGAATAAACAATAAAACTAGATGGGTGTTAGTGGTCAACGGGTTAAGGTTGTTAGCACATTTTAAGTTCCAGTGACACCATCGCAACTCGACTTTCTTCTTTCTTTGCAGCACACGCTGGACTTTACCGATTCCATGCCCCGCACTTATTCCCCTCCCACGAAGTTCATGAAAGTCAACCGTTCGAGTTTTCCCATATATAGTCAATTAAATGATTATTGGAATATCAATATCCTAAGGAACTTCCATTAGCAACGAATGCATCTTTCATGTTATAATTAAAAAGGTTTTGGTTTTGTGCATTTCGTATCACTGTCTTTCTATTTCCGACCTGTGAATCTAAATCATTCATGAAGGAACTGAGTTTGACGAAACCCAATCACGACAGTCGGGGAACTCAAGATATATTGTGTTGACATCTGACAACTGGGGCAACGGCACAGTCCGACGATTCAAACAAACAGCAGCACGCATGCACAAGACAAAATTTCTCGTGTTCCGTTTAAGTTGACGGGAGGAATTTTGTGGAAGAATACGCGCTGGGTTTTTCGTTTCCAGTCGGTGGGGATTACCTTGGAGATAATTCATATGGATAGTGGAAACGAGTCGGGACAGTACTGAGAAGTTGGATCCAATCATGCATGCAAGGAAAAACACAAACAGTTAGACAAACAAGATGTGTGTGTGTGTGTGTGTGTGTGTGTGTGTGTGTGTGTGTGTGTGTGTGTGTGTGATTCTTATATGACAATCGCGCAGAACCGAGTAGATGGGATTAGTTCGCATGAACGCACCGATGTTGGAAAAGAAAAGAAATAAGGAGACCGATAGATGCAGAGGCACAATACATTTGTCTAGGAGTTCATCGAATACTGAAGCTTACGTTCGCAGATGTTCTAGTGGCAAAAGATAACCAGTATTCACCCGAAAGGAATCAAATCCGAATATGAATTGAACACAAAAACGGGTAAAGACGAAGAGATTTTCCCAAGATAGTCGGTTGTACTTGGACACAGTTTGGGATAATCTCGGGTGAACGAATTAGATGGTTGTCATGAGCACACAAACGTGACGGTGCACGGATGAAAAATGAGGAAAGGGAAGGGGGTAGACGGAACGAGACATAGGCATGTTAGATGTTGTGTGGTGCGCAAGTTAGGCAGCAAGGGGGAGAGAAAAAATAGTGAGCTAAGATGATCGTACCTTATGACTAAACAGGTCCGTTTCCACCGTTTTTATGTCGGGCGCAGTAGCGCTTCTGGGTAAGTGGGTTCATCATTCAATGCGAGCTGAAAGTGTGTGTCTGTGTGTGTAATTGTAATTGGACGAGTATCGAATAGCACAAACCCACGATCGTGAATTCGACAGTGGAAATCCAGAGATTTAGGTTCAAATGGATCTTGGTGAACAACAATCTAGATCTACATTTATGGTTGGGCAGTTGCGGAGCACTATTTTCCTTCTTTACTTATGAATTGTATACCTGCACGGACTGAAGATTTTATTTATGCAAATAGCAACGAATGTAACCCTTGGTGCTTTTTATTCTATCTGAAAAGATAGAAGGAGTGACGGATCGTACGATGTCTTTTGGANAAAGCGCAATGATAAATAGAGTGGTCGTTCAAAAATGGATGCCAACGGATCAACATTAGCGAGTTAATCCAAATATACCGTCCACACTTTCACGTTATACTTGCAGGTAGGAAACTTGTGTCGACCAGTACAGTGATGAGCCTATACGCTTTCCGACTTCGAGGTAATTGTTTCAATTGTTTTTCAATCACAAATGTACAGTCGAATACTCGCTTAAATGGTTGTTCAGGTAGTTAAAAAAAAATTAGTCGTCGAGGCAGCTAGTTTAGAATTCCAATAACGACTACCGATGGTATGTTGAATAGAAGTTGATAGCCACACATCACAGTGATTTATCCTATCCAGACGGCTGATACGATTAAACCTTTTGTGGATGATTTATGCACAAAAATTAACAGTAAACGGTATCGAATATCTTGAACATTAAATTTCCAGCATATGCCGAAATCCAAGTCGCGAAATATTTCAATAAACACCTCGGTGTGATGAAACCCCAGAGGAATGAGACCATACAAGTGACGGCGCAGTGTTCAATTGTGATGACCGGGAACATAAAACTGACAGTGAAGAGCCACATAAGACTGTCTACCACTGAAGTTGAAACTCGGCTCATGAAATCCGGTACATGCCTTTGGTAGCTAATTCAACGGGTGACCAAGGCTCCGTTATGATTGTGAAAACCGAATTATTTTCATAAGCAACAGGAAAGAAGGAGTCAGCAAGTTACGGACTAGTGAAAACGGGATCTGTTTTGTTAGTTTCATGCTTTGATATGATATTGCAGTCATGTCTGTTGTACCCATGTGTTTAGCAAATTAAATTCTAAACGACTGAAAGAAATTCCCGTTTACAGTGGAGTAAATCTATGCTCACGTTTGCCATTAGCGAAAATCAGTTGTCACTGAATTTTGGAATTGCATTACCTGCATCACCTGGACATCCTGAGCAATGCACGAATGTTTGCATATCGGTTTCACACAAGCCAGTGCAAAGGTACGCCAGATTATTGACAGGGAACAGAAGCATTTCGGATGAGAGCGGATGCGTCAGTTGAGCGCATTGGTTGGTCATTTTCCCTTTCATCATTCAACAGACGATTACACAAATAACTTTCAGTGAGGTCATAAAAATCATCTTCTACGGGGACACGAAAGGGAAAGTGCAGCGGTCTGCGGTGCCGTAATTTTCGAGCCTATTTGGTGACATGTAGACCTAGTGTTTCTAGTTCTCCAAATACAGGATGAAAATGTGCAAATGAGTATAAAAGAATAAGCTTTTCTTTTAATACTACAACAGTTACAAGGGTGTCCAAATACGAGAATTAAACTATTTGGAGTTCTACAACGGTAAATTGGTCAAAAAGAAAATCAGTGTCACATGGGTTACCCATACAGATGGAAAGTAGTTATGGTGTTTTGGAAACGGTACTACCAAACCGAATAAATGAAACGAAAATTGGATAACCTGCAAACATGCGAACTTGAATCCAAGGAGCGTGTTCAAGAGTCGCTCATGTTTTATTCAAACGGAGTGTCAATTTATTNACAAAGTATGCAAAAGCAGCTGGAAATAGTGAGACGAGATTACAACAAAATATGAATTCATGTTGATTTGTGGCGAAAAAATTAAAATGGTATTCATCATTTACGTACCGTTTCTCCTGATATCCCTTCCTGTCCCAAACGTGGAACCTTTTCTGTGACTAATAATGCGTACCCGGTCGAAGGTCACTAGGTTACGAAGATGTACAATTTGACCGGGTCGATGTGAACGATGGATGAAGAAATGTACNCCTCGGTCACAGAACTTGGTCAACAGTGGCGCTTGCGTTTAGTGTTCATCTCGCCAAACCTAACTCCGGGACCACGTATAATCGGCCTTGGACGTGCACAAGGCAACGACAACTGATGACAGCCGCACAAAAGTAAACGGCTCGATAGCAAATAGGCAGGCAGATCAACAGGCCAACCAACAAGTAGACAAGCGGTAATCACAAGCAACAGCACACCACAGAAATCGATGTGGTAGCAACCGAAGCACACTGGACGGACAAAGTGCCATGACAATAGTCGAGGTACAAAAGGACCAACTCTTCCCGTTGTCTGCCTCTCACTCTCACTCGGTCAAATTTGACAGTGTTTTGACGGAATGCCGTGCACTGGCACATACACAAACACAACCTGAAATTTGTGCGGGTTTCTAGCACACCATGATGTGAATCTAAGACCGCGAGGGAGGAGGGGGGAAATGTATGATGTATGTGAACCAACAATCATCGTGACAGTCCACATGTGTGACAAAACACGGTCAACAGCCAACTATCACAATATTTAAGCATTATGATGACCTTGAAATCGGAGCAATCTTAAGCGATGTGAATACTGTTCCATGCCGCCCTTTTAAACACACAAACAACAATCTAACCTCGCCGTGCAAGAATCGCCATGTCAAGCGATAGGTCACAATAGACATTCATTGATTGTGTGTATACCTGAGGACAGTGAAGAGTGACAAATGCGTAACGGTACAACAACCCGGGAGGACTACGAGGACTGCGTAAATGCATAGTCAGCTCTGCGACACACGGTGTCACGTACCACTCTAGTCGTTTGACAAGAGATTCGCGAATCATGTTCTACAGTCATAAAACGGTGCAAAGCAAGGGTCCATACATCCGTGGAGCTCAGTATTAGAAAACATAATCACCGATCGACGGCTTGTCCAACCTGAGGAACTAACGCTGGCTGGATGAGGCACATATAATAATAATAATTCGAGTGCAGGCCTAATCTGGTAGATGACTGACTGTAGTGGAGAACACACAGAATGAGCGAATCCCAAAGAGCAAGAGGAGAATCTATTAAAATCCAATTAGCACATGGCCAAAAGATAATGTAACTGCAACTGTCTCTTGCAGACCAAACTGAGTGCGTTCAGTCTGCTTTACATATGTTTACTTTCGCTAGGCTGATCGGGGCACCAGCAAAAAAGGAAGGAAAGTATGCAGTCATGATTGGTTTTAACGTGTCTTCCTTCTGTTTAGCGATCAATCCAATCCAGGTTTTACTATCACAGACAGGACCTGCACGCAAGCTATCGATTTAAACCCTTTGTAATTTCCTCGAGTCTCCTATTCTATTCACTTTGCCATGCCAAATGCGTCCATTGTTCATAAACTGCTAGAATTAGACATACACCGGATGTTTCTTGACAACAATCGAAAAGAATTCGAGCAAGAGTCGCGGATGTACAGCGAAAACTTCTCAAGTAAACGTAAACGATGGGAGATATACAAAAATTTATGTATGATTTCAGTTAAGCACGTTTAGGAGTTAAAAATAAGGGAGTTCCACCGTGAATGATAAAACACCACGAGAAAGTTTTGGCTTATTGTAAACGAACAAAAACGTCGTGACAGAAGTACACAATTCTTGAAACATTATATTTCACTTTGTAGTATATGACCAGGAAATGAATATGAAAGGTGGATCATTGTTTTATTACAAACCACACTTGAATGTCCACATTCGATGAAGGGACTTTGAATTGCTATGTATCTGAGGCTTTCAAAGGATAGACGGAGCAGGAAAATTACACAGTTATGTTATGTTGTTGGTGCAGAACACTTCGCAGTTAACTTATCACACACACACTCGAGCTCTCTTTCGTCTTAAGATTCTCATACGAACATATTTATGAAGATAGACAGCTCCTTTTTCAGTCACCTCACTCGGCGATTAATTGAATAGCATGAAACTGTGCTATATGAATTTATACTGGATTAGTGGTAATCGAAGCGGTAGCACTCAGTTGTACAGACTCACCTGACCGTTTGGTCCTTCATCGGGATCCACTGCGNCTGCGGCCAACTGACCACGAACCTGAGTGAATCGTGGTTGGTTCTCCGTCACAAAAAACGGTCCTTTCTCAGTAAACATCGGTCGATTGTCATTTTCATCGAGAATCGTCACAAATACGGTTGCAGATGCTGTGTACACCAAGCTATCTGGACTACTGGGACCATCTTTACCGACTGATTTATCCGATTCCATACCACAGGTGGATGTGGGCGGTCCGTCGGTAACACAAACATGCAGTGTGATTTGTTCGGTCTTTTCTCGATCCAACACCGTGGACATTTGTGTTCCGGTGTCACCCAGTGTGAAAATGACTCCGGAAGATGGATCGATACCGAAATATTGTTTACCTTCTGCTTTTAGATCATAATGCAGTTTGGCACTTTGATCACGATCCTCAGCCTGGATCTGGAATCATGATAATGGAAAATGAGCGAGACAGAGTATAGTCCAGGGTGCATAGGAATTCAAGGGGGCAAGTGTGAACAGTTTAGCCAAAACAGCAAACTCGTTGTCGAGACACTCAAGATAAATAGCTCTGAAATTAATCAAATAATCTTGTTTATGGTGATGCTGACACGAGGAATAAGACATCCTAGGACGTGAAAGGATGAACTACTAAGATAGGTGGGGAAACGAAATTTTATTACAGGCCAATGAATGATGAGCAGCTAAAAGAACAAACTCCATAGACTCGGCATTCTACTGCTCACTTTAAGCCCTGGAAAAATGAATATTCAACGGTGCAAGGCTCTAGTAGGACAGAGGTGGTATTGGGCAGGACGACCACGAAGAACACTCAAGTATGGGGGTTCACACTTTGGACCTCATGGAGCAATGCATTCTGATAACAGCGAGTTAAACCACCACCACAGCGGCAGCCACCAACACTCGTGCTCGATGTATTCTTAACGAAGGCTCATCTGTACACCATTGACGTTTAAGTAGTAAAATTAAACACCAGTATTAACTTATAGTGTTATTTTTCACAACTATTCGCTAGGGGAGCAGGTTATTATAATCCAACTGTCATATACATGAAAAGATAATCCTATTTATAAGACAATGGGATAGCATCCTATGGCTCAAAATCCCTGACGTTTTCCTGCAATATCGAAGAAATAAAATATATAGATATATATAGATATGTGCTACAGATGTTCAACCTTATGGGACTCAGTTCATCCACCGTGTGATCTCTCATTTCATGTAATGAAAACATGATTAGGACTAAAATTAGCTTACACAATGAAACTAATTTAATTCGCCTCTGCATGGTCCTGCTCAACATTTGCAATTTGTTGTCCATGACCGAGCAGTGTTCACTCCCAAGTTGTTACCACTACACAACAAGCTTTCTGCTGAAACCTAGTGAAGAACATATGTAACTTGAACCACAAGTCTCTGATATCAGATGGCTTACTGAAATCACTTCCATATATGCGAAAAGGTAACGCCAGTGTTGTGAAGACCAGGACCGAGGATGAAGGGTTATGTCACCGATGCTTCGCTGCATACATACTGAGTTTGGTCCTACAGGTTGTCGACTGCAGTGTGGCAGCTTCTGCGCTCTTGCCCTACATATATCCTTCTATGCTACCATTATTCAACCAATGTGCTTCCTATCTTCAGTTTTTTACCTCACCCCCGTAATTCTCTACATCCGATATGCATGTACACGCACACAGACTTACTCTGGTGCACACAAAGGATATGGTGTTACCCACCGTAACTGGACAGTCTTGCAACACGGGGATAGTTAACAAACTAGCTGGGATTGTTTGTGTAACAATCTGTACTGATCGTACGTACGTACGTTCGTACGCACACGCACACATAGACAGATGGATATAGAAACGAACGAAACCCGCTCGGATTTTATTAATTCATCAATGCACGGACCTATTCAAACAAAAAAGCTAGAGGGGTTAGTCGACGTGACAAACAAAGACGACCGAATGTCAGCTTACAAGCTGTTACATCAAACCCCCCGACCCACTTAGTCATCCGAAAAGCTCCCACTGCATCGCCTAAGATATTGTTGTCACCAACCCGCCAACTACAAATACCACTGAAGGCGATGAGTAAACAGTTACCAGAAAAAATTCTGAACGTGACCGAGGGAAAATTCGAGGGTTTCAGGGGGGGAGTATACATACTGGAGAAAACCATAGGACGAATATTATTTATCAAAGTGTGTGAACTAGCGGTCAGCTGTGTTCACACACCGAGCGGTCAGCAGAACATTTTCTGTGGATTACAGAATTACGAGAATTAGGAATTCGTGCTAGAACTATAAACCAATTCAAGGGCGTTTGGGATTCCGTTTGAGTAAGTGACCTGATACGGTGGTTCATATAGGAAAGAATAATAGTAAACGAGAGGTTCGGTGTCAATTTGTGCTTCTGTGTTCGTTCAAAGGCACTGTATTCAGTGGGACTGATCCTTGGTGGGAAAATGAAGCGACAGGTGCTGCCTAGGATAGGGAATGGTAAACAATAATTCACAGGGCTATTGTGAATGAGTCAATGAATTGAGCCAGAAAAATTCCTCTTTCTCTCAGTGTGTGTCTGAAATAGAGAGAGAGAAAGGATTAGTGCGAAGGCGAACGAAGCAGAGAAAGAAATCCGTAGTTTATGACCTGACAGTGGCGGAATACAGTCTAGCTACGGACAAAGAACTATGAAAACGATGGATTTCGATCTACCAACGAGTGGCTTCATATTTGGCAGTTATCGTACATATTGAGAAAACAAGGGTGGTCCATAGATTTTTGCCATGAGTTCCAGTGTGAGACCGGATTCATTGGGTTTTAGCTCACTAATATGAGCGAAGTGCCTATTCATAAATCACTTACTTATGTGTTGTTGTTTCTTCTTGACTAGGAAAAATGTCAGATATGCGCAAGAGTAACCCCGAAGTGGAGAAAACGAACTGATTCGTTGGGTGAATAATAGTAGAGGTCAAAGGAAATAAATGATAATGAGGCTGATCATGTACTGCGGCCTGAATGAATTGGTGGTCATCAGGAATATGAATCCTCATTATCTCGTTCACATAGAAACATACATTTGGAGGGATAACTAACCATCTGAGTTTAAATAAAAAGTCACTAAAATGTGGGCCTCATGTTACCCATCTTGATTTGGAGGAAGTTCATGGTCGGAAAATATTTGACAATGGAAGATAAACTATGTGGAACATTTACTGTCATTCTGATTAAATAATGCGATTTCCCGGTTTTGAAGAATTTCGAAAGGGACTGTTATTTTAACTGAGTCTAGGTTATTTGTGAGGGAGTGGTTTGATTCAAGTACGAGTATTCGATCAAGTAAGATATTTACATTAGCTAGATTTGGCACTCGAGAAGATGTGTGACGGTAATCAGCAAGCAAAATTCTTAACGAATATGGCGATCTCCAGAAATTTTTCAAAATGATTATGAACAAGTCCCATTATTTGCCCATGTGTTTCATGGGATAGTGTAGTTACGTTCTACTTGTACATCAATATCAATGCGGATTTCAATCGGTTAACCTTCAGTTTAGCTAGGCAGTGGTACTTTTCCCGCTAACATTTCCACCGCTCGAAATCGAAAATACAGACCGGTGCTTCTACACGTTGATGACCATTTATCGAGAAGAGTCTCGGATCGTTTATTATTAATGTGAAACCGCATGCTCACCGCAAACCTTGATTATTGAGAAGCTATAATTAAGAATCTGGAATGGAGCGATCACTATTGCCAGAGTCGAACACCATCGGAAATGCAGTACAAGGTTACCACACTCCCTCTTGTATTGGAACTGTGCATACCCTGGTGAAATTATTCAATGAACTAAATCTTTCGGAACAATCCAAATAGATCACTAGTACTGGTGGATTCGAATATTCAACGTGAGGGATTATAGTCAAAACTGCGTATTGGCTTAAGGAATTAGGTAGCGGGGTTACTTTGTTCCAGGCAGGGTCATAATTATTAAGATCAGTGATTTCACTGATTTGGGAATGAAGTGACGACCGGCTGTTTGGATACGTATGACTAATGTAGATGCGTGTCCGCAGTTTAGTAGAAAAATAATTTATTTATTACACACCCAAGTGTGACGAACAGCAGAGGGGGCGAAACCCATGGTCACGAGAACCTGCTGTTCAGTGGTGGAAACCGGTAACCTAAGCCCAAAGACTTGGAGTGGTGGACCACATAAGGCCCCGATAGGCTATGCGTGGTATTGAACCGGACGACAGCAGAGCTGCCTACCACCGAAGTTGGGCGGCGGTGGCGGAGCTCGAACCTCGGACCATAGGGTCCAAAGCACGTCGGTGGCAGCGACTAAACCAATGCGTTACCACCACCCAATGTTTCTATGCATTTGAATGCGATCTCCCAAGTGGTGAAAAACCACACCAAAGACCATCAAGAGTGCCTGGTGTCTCTGAACAACCAAATGGAATAATCCAAGCTTGATACTCTAAATGTTAAAGCCAGTCAAATTTTATTCGTAAGGTGATACGAAGTGATGCAAAAAGATTAAACAAATATGTACTATTTCGATAGGGATCGTAAAATAGGAACTTCGTACATCTTAAATAGAATACACTTNACCCGGAGCTGTGATGTTGTTATGAAAAACTAGGGAGTGGAAGCTAAAATGAACAGATGGGTGTCGTACGGGTTCTTGTTCATTTTTCACCAATCTGGCACCGTCCTGTAACGGTTTCGGTTGCTGTTTGTCCACTAATTAATTGGTAGGACAATGCGAAAGGAGTTAAGAATTTATGGCGAAGTGTGTTATCCGAATACACATATAGAAAATGAATAAACTGGAGTTGAGTAAAAAGTGAGTGAATGAACGAGCGCAAATGTTTACGACACAGTCATATTAGTTAGTAACTCGAACCATAGAGTAGGTTACACACGGGGCCCTAAACCAGGAAGCCTCACGCGACTTTGTTTTTTCATTCTCACTTTCTTTAATTGAATCTATAATCATACAATTTCCAGGAAGGGGAAGCCGACAGACAAAGGGCTGATAGAAAAGAAAACGGATGAAATAAGTCGATCACATGTCCCTCCGAGCGATCATTCGGTGATTTACCACTCAAGGTTTACATTCCCTCATGTCAGGTCTTCTTTCGACCACGTAACGTTCCTTGGAAAATATCGTTATGAAAGCCTACGTGGGTTAGTCCCTAAACTACAGTAATTAATCGGGATTAAACAGATCAAAATAGTGTGAAGAGTTAAAACAAAATCTTCTGAATTCCAGTCTGTTGACAAATTCCAAGAGATGCTAATGATTTCTGACGGCTGCGGGCAGAAGCACTTGCTTATTTAAGAAATGCGATAGAAGGCTCAGATACCAGAAAAAATTATTGTATAAGGACACTTAGAAGCATTAAGGGTC